TCCTCCCTGGATTGGCTCTACCTCACTTTCCACTCGCTCAAGTCCTCCCACTCACGTCTGTGTTTTAGAGCGTGTTCTAGAAGAACGTGACCTCACTTTGTGGGACAGTGGGTAGAGGACTCACACCGCTGTGAGAAAGGTCCATCAGCCTGTGCAGGATGCAGGAGCTTGGCGGACAGCCAGCTCCTCTACGCCCATTCCCAGGAACAGCTGTCTGGTTCCGTTACACACCTACATGGGAAAGCACGCTCCTGAGACCACACAGGAAGCTTGGGCCTCAAGAGGTGACACCACAGCCAGTGTGGCCTCCAACCTTCAATCTCAGAACCACACGGCTTCTTGCCTTGCTTCTCTCCAACTGCTATGCATCCTGTAAGACACGGTTCAAAAGACGTCCCTTCCCCTGGTGTGGGCCATGACCCACATCACATCCTTAGGCTTCCGGCTGGATCTACTCTGAGCCGCTTCCCGACAAGACTCAAGGCTTTACCCCTTGCCCCCAAAGCTGACACAGAATGTACTTCCCCTGAGCAAAACTGCAACTGGGTTGCCGAGGCCGAAAATAGATATTTTCAAACTTCAACCGGCATGACTCACCTAGAAGGCTCTCAAAATACAGGCTGCGAGGCGGCACCCTGTTTATGACGGGGAAGGCCAGGTGGGGCTCCATCACCAACATGACTGACAGTTCCAGGAGAGGCTGAGCCTGCTGGTCTAGAGGCTGACCGTGATAAGGTCAGATTAAAATCTTCACCTTGGCATCCAGGCCTTGCACAATATGGCCTCCAATTATTGTACCAGCTGCACCTCTCCCCAGGGGCTGCCCCACTCCAAGAGCAGCAATGACTCTATGAACTGAAGTTCCCAAAAGAAGTCACACCTACAGTGAATATTCCATAAAAACCGACCAATGGACAGGAACATCAGTGAATGGGGAAGTTTGAATGTTGCAGCTCCAGAGACAAATTATCTTAGGCTGTCTTGGCCCCATTAAAAAGCCATTCGTTGCCCACCTCTGTGTGTGACTTAATATCCTGAGATTACTACGTGAGCCCTTTTAGAAAGCATAAACAGGTCCCTAGCTGTCATCAACTCAAAAACTAATAATTATCAGGCAGCATCTAGGGCTATAGGAGCAATTTCCCCAATTTGCTGTAATTGATTACCTGAGGTTCCCACCAATGTTTGGATGGTGGATAGGAGAGAGATGGGCAGAGTGATGGTGGATGGGGAGGGATGGATGGATACAGTGATGGGGGATGGGGAGGGATGGACGGATGGAGTGATGGGGGATGGGGAGGGATGGACGGATACAGTGATGGGGGATGGGGAGGGATGGATGGAGTGATGGGGGATGGGAGGGATGGATGGATGGAGTGATGGGGGATGGGAGGGATGGATGATGGAGTGATGGGGGATGGGAGGAATGGATGGATAGAGGGATGGGGGATGGGGAGGGATGGATGGATGGGTGATGGGGGATGGGGAGGGATGGATGGATAGAGTGATAGGGGATGGGGAGGGATGGATGGATGGAGTGATGGGGGATGGGGAGGGAGGGATGGATGGACTGATGGGGGATGGGGAGGGATAGATGGACGGAGTGGTAGGGGATAGGGAGGAAGGGATGGACAGAGTGATGGGAAGGGATGGATGGAGTGATAGTGGGTGGGGAGGATGGACAGAGATTCAAGCAGCTTTCATTTTTTGCTTTTCCATATGTTCCCATTATTCTTCAGTTACTACCCAAGTGACATCAGCCATTTCTTCTTTCTCTAATTGTTTAAAAACAATTATTACTATTACTTATAGACAAAAATTTATGTCCTGCCTGGTCCCAGAGTCGTTCAGTACCAAAGAAACACACAGTGGCTTCTATTAATTGTAAACTGTTTGGCCTATTAGCTCAGGCTTATTATTAACTAACTCTTATAACTTAAATTAACCCATAATCCTTGTCTATGTTTAGCCACGTGGCTTGGTACTTTTTCTCTGTAAGGCATTCTCATCTTGCTTCCTCTGCCTCTGGCTGGTGGTGGCACGGGCCTAGAAACTTTCATCTACAAATACTACTACTATTATTATCTGTGTGCAAATGCACATGCCATGGCGGACATGTGGAGGTCAAAGGACAATTTGAGAGTCACTCCTTTCCTATCTGTATGTGAGCTCTAGGGGCTGAATTCAGGTCCCCAGATTCGCACAGCAAGCACCATCCAGCCCTGAAAACTAGTTTTCAAAGCAGCTCCAGGACACAGCTGAAGTCTGCTGTTCATCTGTTGTTATTTTCTGCTGACTGAAACCCTGAAACAAACACAACAACATAAACACAGCAGAAAGCGGCTCCAAGAATCAAGACGAAGAAAACATAAAGTCTGGCTTCATCCACCTTGGCCCTTTGGCTCTGAGCAGGAGGCTCGCCTCTCTGTGCCTCTGTCTCTTCCTCTGCAAAAGGGAGACCAGCTAGTGACTCTTCCTGCCCTGCTCCACCCTCAACAGGGCTTTAGAAGCTGAAGTTGGCTATGTGGATCTTATTTCACCACTTCTGCCCAAGGGGCTCCCCCAAGAGATGCTCAAACAGTAAAGATAAAAGCAACAGGGCGGAGTCCAGGGTAGGGGAGGATTGATGGGGACAGAGTCCAGGGTGGGGGAAACAGCAAGTGAACGGGAACAGAGACTTAGGGGTGCAGCAAATAACAGGGACAGAGCACTGAAGGGGGACAGCAAATAACAGGGGACAGAGCCTGAGGTAGGCAGCAAGTAATGGGGGACAAAAGCCAGGGGAGGCCAGCAAGTGACAGAGGCATAGCCTGGGGTCTCCCCTGTTACTGGGGACAAAAGCCAGGGACAAAGGGTGGGGGATGGGAAGTAAGTGACAGGGGACTGAGCTCTGGAGGGGAATAGCAAGTGACAGAGGGCATAGCCTGGGGTGGGGGAGCAGCAAATGACAGTAATGGGGGGGGTAACAAGTGACAGGGGACAGAGCCTGGGGGGTCAGCAAGTGATGGGGACAGAGCCCTGGAGAGGGACAGCAAGTGACGGGGTGGGGGATGGGGCTGGGGACAGAACCGGGGACAGCAAATAATAGGGGACAGAGCCCTGGGGAGGCAGCAAGTGACAGGGGACTGAGCCCTGGGTAGGAGGAGCTATGCCCTGGCCTATGTATGTCCCCTAAGAATTCAGGCCCAGTGTTATATTAATGGGAGATGACATCACCTTTAAGAGAGAAGACTCATCATGAAGTCACAGAGACTAGGAGGGAACTGAGGAGGAAGGAGCTTCATCTGGAACCTTAGGAGCTCTCTGGCTCCCAATATCACCACAAGATTTTCTTCAACAAAATCCTCCATGATTCCCACTGACCTGAGCCCAGCCAACCTTCACACCACAGCCCAGAACCGCCAGAGCTGTGTGCCAACTAAATGTCTTGTGTTCAGGAAGCCCCTCCTCGGGCATCTGACAGCACTGGGCACCTAACTCAAGCTGAGAAGGCCAAGTCCCTGTCCCTTGACCACTGGCTTCCTCCTGCCTGCGAGGTGAGAGAGAGGGGGCCTTGTGAACTCTACCTTTTCCTAAGCAGCCAGAGCTCTTTCTCCAGGGAACCAGGTTTCTCCACTTAGCAAGAGTAAGCCAAGCGTTCTGTCAATATAAAGCCAAGACTACTTCCCATTGGGCATGGAAAATGGCAAAGCATCCCTGGCCAAAAGCAAGCTCCCCAGTGTTCTGAGACCTGACTAGACATGGAAAACCCTCCAAACACACCAACACACCACAGCAGTATGCACCACGCCTAAAACACCCCTTTCTGATCAGTGCACGCTTCTGAACCGCCCCTCCCAGCTGCAGTGGCAAGACCTGGGCTCACATAGCCCCAGTGATGGCTGAGATGCCTGGCGCCCGAGGACCCTCAGCCACATCTCCAAATGTCTGCAAGATTCTGCCGCTGCCAGCTGCATCCAAAATTTACTTGAGATGTTTCTTACACACACATCACTTCATTTCCTTGGCGTCCAGAGTTTGGAAGGGTATTATTTATGTAAGTGTGTACATGTATATACAAGTATATGGGACACACATACATATATGTATATATATAGGCTACTAAGATGTAGCTTAGTGGTAGAGCACTTGGCTAGCATACACAAGGCCCTGGTCTAACTGTCACTACTGAAAACTCTCTCTCTCTCTCTTTCTCTCTCTCTCTCTCTCTCTCTCTCCCTCTCTCTCGCTCTCGCTCTGTCATGCATGTGCAAGAGAGACTTGGCAGAAAACAAGTTAAGCCAGACGCATGCACATTCTAGGGCATCTGGATTTTGTCAACTGAACGCTGTCACCATGAGGCAAGCTGATGATAGGGTTATAGGCAGGGCTGCCTCATCCTATGAAGCCAGTGAGGTCCCAGGCCCCTTGCAGGAGCCAGGGGTGATGGTTTGGAGGGACAAGCAGGGAAGTGGGAGAGCTGTGAGTCCTGCAAATGACGCCAAGATCAGCACTCAGACGCCCCTGTCCACACCAGGCCTCTGGGCGTTCGTTCAGAATTCACCCACTTAATCCTGGAGCGTTCCGTGTCCAAGGTAGCACGAGAAGAGAATTCCTTATCTGGTGCCATGTTAAGGCTCAAAAGGACCTCAGACCTAAAACACATCCAGGCTTTACTTGGGGAGCTGCCCCAAGCCTCCCCGACCCACAGTATAAAATCTGAAATGCTCTGAGCAGCAGCAGCACCCTCTATGCTCACCCTCCACTCACAGAGGGTTAGCAATGGTCCAGTCTTCCCTTGTTCATATGCTACAGCACAGCACTCAAGGACAGAACGGATTTTTGAGACACATTTCTGCTTCTGTGGGCTCAGCCTGAGTATAGGAAGTGGGGTGAATGTGAGAAGGGGAGGCCGAGGACTCAGCAGAAGACTTCATCTTCTCCCTGCTGCAGCCCTGACCCACACTGCAGACGTGGAGTCGGCATAGTGGGCATCGGGGCCCAGGCTGGCACACTCTTACCCACAGCTTCCCGTCATAGTAATAGGCCCCCAGGAGCTTCACGATGTATGGGTGGTCGCAGGTGGCCAGGATCTCAATCTCCACAATGTAGTCCTCCAGCTCCTCCTCACTCTTGGTCTCGATGACTTTGGCAGCTGCCAAGGCACCAGTTTCCTTGTTTTTGGCCTGCAAAGTGGAAATACGGGAGATTATAAGGCAGGCAGGGCAGGCAACAGCCCCGGAGGGCTTCCCAGTCTTCCATACAAATGTGAAAACTAAGGAGGATATCCAGGGGTCTGAGTCACTGACCAGACACACCTTTCAACGGTGCCCAGGGCACACAAGGTGTCGCCACAGAGGAGCTCAGACCAGAAAGAACATTCTATGTGCTTAATAAGGAAGTAAGATATAGTCAAGCCATGGGAAACATACAAGAACAGGCTAGTGCACACACACAGACACACATAAAAACAAAGTCTCTATAATGCAAAAATGAAAAGAAAGAAAACGAGCAAAAAGTCTGAGGGAACCTATTCCTGACAGCCGGCACAGAAAAGCCTGAAGCTCATGAACATTGACACTATGTACTAGTTAAGGTTCGTGTGCGTGCATGTATTCATGTGTGTGGAGGGGGTATGTGTGAGGAGAGCTCGTGTGCATGTATTCAGGTGTGTGGGGGGGTGTTTGTGTGCATGTGTTCGTGGGGGGTCGTGTGTATGTATTCATGTGTGGGGGGTCGTGTGCATGGGCCTGTGAGGGGGTTGTGTGCATGTATTCATGTGTGTGTGTATGTGGGGATGCCTCTGTGGGGGGTGCATTGCCTGTGGGGGGTCATGTGTATGTGTATGTGGAGGTGGAGTTGTCCTACATGCATCACAGTAAACTGCCCCCTGGCTACATGCCACCTGGGCAGAACACTGCTTCTTATCTGTTGAGAAAGAGTGAAGGCTTTCGCCAGCTAGGACGACACGGTCAGGATTCAGACACTTAACAGGAGCTGCTGAGGACATAGAAGAGAGAACTGGAATGGGGCAGGACAGCAGTGGAGCAGCCAGTACAGAGGTCCCTACTCCAGAGACCAACACAGACGCTGCAATCCTACCACAGGTTCAGAGCCAAATGAGCCCGATGTGGGGATTCCTGCTCGTCAACACACCGCACTGCAGCCAGCACGGCCCAGGGTGAGACCCACCTAACGGCTACCAAAGAAACTAACACATACATGCAACAGGCTGCTGTCCCACCACGATGCCAAAACAGTAACAAATGAGCCTTGAGAATGTTGCTCTCTGGGGCTGGAGAAATGGCTCAGTCGTTAAGAACACTGGCTGCTCATGTAGAAGTCCTGGGTTCGATTCCCAGCACCCACACGGTGGCTCACAACCATCCATAATTTCACGGGAAGGGGATTCAACGCTCTCTTCTGGCCTTCTTGGGCACTGCGTAAGAAATAAAGGTTGGGGCTGGAGAGATGGCTTAGAGGGTTAAAGCACTGGCTGCTCTTCCTGAGGTCTTGAGTTCAATTCCCAGCAACCACATGGTGGCTCCAAACTATCTGTAATGAGAGCTAGTGCACGCAGGCACAACACTGTATACATAATAAATAAATTAAAAAATCTTTGAAAAAAGAAATAAAGGTTAAAAATATGAAAGGAAGAAAGAAAAGAGAAAATAAATACTGGTCTTTAAGTGAAACAAGCCAGGCACAAAAGCTAAATACTTTATGATTCCATCTAACTGACCCAAAGTGGTCAGTGACAGACAAAAACAGAGGCTACCAGGACTGCAGGGGTGGGGTTCCACTTACAGGATCCACTTATTGTTGGAGATGATTTAAAAATAAACAAACAAAAACCCTTGAGCCAGACATGGTGACACAGGCCATGAATCTCTGCACTCGGGAGGCAGAGGCAGGCGGATCTCTGTGAGTCTAAGGCCAGCCTGGTCTACAAGAGCTAGTTCCAGGACAGGCTCCAAAGCTACAGAGAAACCCTGTCTCAGAAAACTAATAAAAGGCTGCGTTCAGTGTTGACGGAGGACACACTAATGACACAGCCGTGGGCACCAGCAGCTGCTTTTCACAAGCACAGGGGCAGTGGGTATCCCAGAGCCGTGGACACCCGAGCTCCACCTGTGCCTTCTGGAGGGTGCTGTGCCTCATGCCCACTCTGACCTCTGACCTCAGCTGACAACAGTTCTTCCCGCGCATCTCCAGCCCCTGGAGGACAATATGCATTCACCCACAGGGCCAGGTCACAGCAACGTGCAGCTCAGACCCCCACAGTGAAGGTGAGAAGCAAATTCAGAGAGGTGCCTGGAATTCGCACCTGGATCATCTATCATCACAGAGTCTCTACATTCTCTAGGGCAGTGGTTCTCAACCGTCCTAGTGTTGCGACCCACCTCATGTTGTGGTGACCCCCGGCCATAGTTATTTTTGTTGCTACTTCATAACCGTAATTTTGCTACTGTTATGAATCGCAATGAATCTGTTTTCGATTGGTCTTAGGCGACTCCTATGAAAGTGTCGGTAGACTCCCTCTCAAAGGGGTCACGGCCCACAGGTTGAGAACCTCTGTTCCAGACTATTCAAATTCATACAATCCCCAGCGCTGAGAAGCCTTGGTAACCTGATGACCTTTGCTATGCCTCGGGTAAGGCCCACGTAGGTGACACTCAATAGCTACCCTCTCCCTGGCCTCTCTGAATGGAGAGGTGCCACCTACCCTGCTGAGAAGGACTAAGTGGCTGCTTACGATGGGCGGGCATGGCCCCAGAAGACAGGTACCAACCTTAGATGGAACCTTTGGTGGGGGGAAGGTGGGGAGGATGCAAACAGGCGTTTTTTTGTTTTTTTGTTTTTTTTTTTGCTGTCTATTCTCAGCTTGGGTTCTCCTAAGCTGCCAAGAGCTCCGCCCCGGCCCCCTGCAGTGACTAGGGCAGTTGGTTTCCAGGGTGGGGGGTGGGAGGGTGGAGGGGTGGAGAAGTGTGGGGAGAGACAGACAAGGCTAGCTTACCCTATGCCCACACTCCTTACGTGTGCTAACTTAGTTTACTATCTCAACCATCCTCCAGGGCGGTGCAGTTAGGTAGGGAGACTGAGGCAAAGTCCCAAGAGCAGAGTAGCAGTGGGGGTCCTGGACCCCAGGAAGCCTGCTCCCAAGCCTGCAGGCGCCCACTAACCAGTCTTCCTCCAAAGTGTTTTCAGATCAAAGGTCATGAGACCTTCAGCACCCAGCCCAGGAGCCCAGGTCAGCAGGATGTATGTGTGGTGTGTGTGTGTGTGTGGGGGTCCCTTTTCCCCTCAATTCAATTTTGAGGGCTTGTTCAGAACACCTTAAAAATCCATTAGATGAGCCGCTAGAGTCTCTCGCTCTTAGAAGAGAAGTTAGGCACCTCTGGGCCTTTGGAGAGGCAGAGAGGAAGGGCGAGGCCTTTTGGGGTGGTAGATCGAAGGTCAGGTGACCACAGCACTCCTCAACCACAATGAGCTAGGCAAAAGCCACCCGGTCACCACCACCTTTCGGAGCCAAGGGTTCTCGTGAAGGCTGAACGTCACCTTTTCCTGAAAAAGAGATATTTTCCTGGAGATGTGGGGGGTGGGAAGGTTTTCTAGGAGTGCACAGACCTGCTTTGCCCACACTTTAACAGCAGCACTGACCAAAGGGCCGGGCCTTCAGCAAGGAGCCAGTGTCAACACCAAGACTGCCCAGTCAGTGCCCGGTGCCTCCTCACTCAGACTTCAGAAGTCAGAGTCCACCAGGGAGGGGCTATGCGGCCACTGTGCCAAAACCAAATTCCTTAAGAGTCTGGCTGAGGCAACAATCCATTCCCAAAAGGCAGCAGAGGATGTTGCAACAGCAATGATTTTTTTTTTTAAAAAAAGAAAAAGCCAGTCAGTGCTGACCACTGGCCACTCCTCAGACCTGGAAGGCAAATGCCATTCTCAGGCACCAGAGGAGGAAGCGACAATTCAGACAGGCATGTGACTTTTGCAGGCTACATTTGTCACAAGCCTGTCTGCTCATGAACTAATGACAGGCACAGCCAGCACCAAGCGCTCCCAGCAAGGGGGTCTTGACAGGTGCAGACACTGAGGCAGGCCCTGGCTCCATGTGTGCGTCCCAGATGGCACACTGAGGCCTGGAAAGGAGAGGATGGAGGTATTGGGATCAAAGAGCTTCCTGGAGGCTGCTTGTTTGCTTGTCTGTCTGTCTTTCTGTTTTATGTGAGGAAAATGGATGATCAGGTGTAGCACCAACTGTTTGGGAGGCAGGAGGATCACTTGAGCCCAGGAGCTCAAGCCCATCCTGGCCAACAGAGTGAGACACCCATAAAAAGAGAAACTGTGTGTTCAGAAGGGTGAAGCCAAGTCCAAGGTCATACAGCTGTAACTAACAGACTTGGGCCCTTGGTGTTTCAAAGTCCTTGAATCGAGCTACTTTCCAGAGTTGCCTATACCGTCAGCATGAGTCCTACCTGGACCTCCATTTTTTCCTCTGTACAGGTGGAGGGTGGGGCAAGATGCCCAAGCTCTCTCTGTGCTATGGGGAGAGGCTGGAGAGAGGGGTGAGCTTCTGAACAAATGAGGTGCACTTGAAGGTGAACAGGCAGGATTCCCACAAACACACAGCATGGAGGTTTCCAACGTTCATCTCACCAGTACTGAGGCCAGGCCAGGGATGAGGGGAATCCCCAGGTCCACTGGTGACTGGCGGTCTCTAACCTTGGAGCCCACACCCTTGAGAGTCAACACAGTGGCCACTGTGTTTTCTGGTCCAGACAGTCTGTGGGAACAATCCTCCCCGTTGTGACAGCCTGGGGCCCAGCCTAGAGGAGGTGGGGCCATCCTCCCAGCCCAGCCAAGAACCCTGTCCTACCCCAGGGGTGGGGCAAGCCAGTTCTGGAGCTGAGGGATTACTGAGATCTGAAAGCATGGAAGTCAGGAGAGGACCCAGACCCTTCCCTTCTCTGGCCGCCAGATGACCACTTGGTCCCCTCCCTTCCCAGGAAATGGCTGATATCCCAGAACACAGCCAGGCCTTCAGCCACAGCTTTGAAATCTAAGTCCTTGATTCCCATTCTCCAGATGGGGAAACTGAGTCCACACACACACACACACACAGAATGCAGAGACCCATGCCTGAGCAGAAAGATGGAAGGAGAATGGGGTGCAGAAGACACGG